TCTTCTGCAGTCTGTGGTTAGCTCACCTGGCTATGCTACTTTTGTCCCGAGGTCTTCTAGCCTTGTGGCTGCCGGATGGGTGCTCTGTTTCACTGAGCAGCAGAGGCTTTCACTGTGCAGAGGCTTTCACTGAGGCTGTTGTGAGACTGAAGGGTTTCCCCCTAGGCTACGGAGCCTGGTTGCTGGAGCTCCACCCAGACTCAGTCCTCTCCTCCAGGATCTTGGGGAGCCCTTTGCCCTGTCTGGGGGATAGCTGGAGACCTTGATTTCAGTGGCAGCTGGCCGGCTGCTGCCCTGCCTGGTATTTTCCTCTCTGGGACCCTCTCTATGTTGTGGATGCTGGGAGGGGCCTTTCCGCTAATGGCATGTAGCGGCTTTGTCTGCTGCCAGGGCGGAACTCTGAAGTATCCCCCCCAGTCCACAGAGCCAGTCGCTGGAGGACCACCAAGCCCCAGTCCTCTCCCAGGATATCTCTGGCCGTCCCGAGCCCCGCCCGGCAGTCAGTGGGGCAGGCAGCGGCAGCTGGCAGGCCGCCGCGCTGTTTGGGATTCTCTTCAGGACCTTCCCAGCGTTGTGGATGCTGGGAGGGGCCTCTCCACTAATGGCAGACAGAGACTTTTGTCTGCTGCCCGGGCTGCGCTCCGGAGCTTCCCCCCGGGGCCTAGGAGCCGGCTGCTGGAGCTCCACCCAGCCCCAGTCCTCTCCGAGGGGATCTCTGGCTATCCCATGCCCTGTCCAGCAGACAGTGGGGTGGGCAGCGGCAGTCGGTGGGCTGCCGCGCCGCTTGGGATTCTCTCCGGGACCCTCCGGTTGCTGTGGACGCCAGGCAGGGCCTCCCTGCCAATGGCGGGCGGAGGCTCTACTTGCGGACTCAGGTGTGCAACTCTGAAGCCTCCCTCTGCATTTAGGTGGAATTGCGGGGGGGCTTAGGTGGGGCTCTGGTCGCCTGTTTCCACCGTCGCTCCTCTGGTGTGCACTCCCTCCTGCCCTAGGTGTGTGCCAATGCTCCAGGGGCGTCTGCTGGAAGAAAGCTGCTTGCAGGTACTAGGCTGCTCAGTCGGGGTCGGAGAATTTTTCCTGTCTCCACCTCCTCCTGGAGGGAAGTCCGACCGCCTTCCGATGTATAGCTGCGTGGGTCTCTCAGGTGTCCCGAGATGCTGTATGGATATCCTTTGTTGAGCGATGAATGTCCAATTTCTTGTAGATTCGAAGGGGAAGAGACAAAGAGGACTACTCACGTCGCCATCTTGGATCCTTGTTCTAGACCACATCTATCGATCATGTGATTCTTATTCCTCATTTTGTTAATGTGGTTTATCCCATTGATTAATTTGCAGATGTTGAACCATCCCTGCATCCCTGGTATGAATCCCACTTGATCATTGGTTTATGATCTTTTTAATGTCTTGCTGTATTCATTTTGCCAATACTTTGTTGAGGATTTTTGCATCTATGCTCCTCAGTGATACTGGCCTGTAATTTTTCTTTTTTGTTGTCCTTGTCTGGCTTTGGAATCAGGGTGATGTTGCCCTCGTAGAATGTGTTAGGAAGTGTTCCCTCTTCCTCAGGTTTTTTGGAATAGTTTGAGAGGGATAGGTATTAAATCATCTTTGAATGTTTGATAGAATTCTCCAGAGAAACCATCTGGTCCTGTACTTTTGTTTTCTAGGAGGTTATTGATTGCTGTTTCAATATCTCTACTTGTGATTGGTCTATTCAGGTTCTCTGTTTCTTCTTGATTCAGTTTTGGGAGGTTGTAAGACTCTAAGAATTTATTCATTTCTTCTCGATTGTCCAATTTGTTGGCTTAGTATTCTCTTATAATCCTTTGAATTTCTGGAGTATCCATTATAATTTCTCCTCTTTCATTTCTAATTTTATTTATTTGAGCCTTCTCTCTTTTTTTCTTCATGAGGCTGACTAAAGCTTTGTCAATTTTGTTTATCTTCTCAAAGAACCAGGTCCTAGTCATTGATCTTTTATTCTGTTTTTGGGGGTATTTTTGGTGTCAATTTCATTTCTTTCTGGTCTGACTTTTATTATTTCCCTCCTTCTGCTGATTTTGGGTTTTGTTCTTTTTCTAATTCTGTTAGATACAGTTCAAGATTGCTTCCGATTTTTCTTCTTTGTTAAGGTGGAGCTGTATTGCTAAGAATTTCCCTCTTAAGACCACTTTTGCTCCATCCCGTGTGAGTTAGTATGATGTATTTTCACTCTCATGTGTCTCCAGATATTTTTTTTATTTCTTCAGTGATCCATTGCTTGTTCAGTAGCATGTTGTTTAGTTTCCACATGATTGTCACTTTCCCAGCTTTTTTCTTGTAGTTGATTTCTAATTTCATAACATTATGGTTAGAAAAGGTGCTTGATATGATTTCAGTCTTCTTAAATTTATTGAAACTTGCCTTGTTTCTCAACAGATGGTTTATCCTTGAGAATGTTCCATGTGCACATGAGACGAATGTGTATTCTGCTGTTTTTGAATGGAGTGTTATATATATATCTATTAAGTCCATCTGGTGCAGTTTTTTGTTTAAATCCACTATTTCCTTGTTGACTTTCTGTCTGTATGATCTATGCATTGATATAAGTGGGGTGTTAAGTTCCCCTACTATTATTTTGTTGTTATTGATATCTCCTTTTAGGTTTATTAATAGTTGCTTTATGTACTTTGGTGCTTCTATTTTAGGCACATAAATATACGTGTTATGTCTTCTTGGTGGAGTGTCCCTTTTATCATTATCTACTGCTCCTCTTCATTTCTCATTACCTGTTTTGTCTTGAAATCTACTTTGTCTGATATAAGTATGGCAACACCTGCTTTCTTTTGTTTGCTATTCATTTGGAGTATGCCTTTGCTCTGAGCCTGTGTTTGTCCTTAGAACTCAGATATGTTTCCTAGAGGTAGCATATTGTTGGGTCTTGTTTTTTAATCCATCCCACCACACTGTGTCTTTTGATTGGAGAATTCAATCCGTTTACATTTAGAGTGATTATTGATATATGAGGGATTAATGCTGCCCTTTTATCGCTCATTTTCCCGTTCTTTTGCCTTTCCCTTAGTTTTTGTCCCATGTATTTCAGTCCTCCAATTCAGTTTGGTAGCTCTCCATGATAGTTTTCTTAGTGTTTTCTTTATTTCTCATTTGTGTCTCTGTTCTGATTTCTCGTCTAGTGGTTACCATGAGGCTTGTATAAAAAGTCTCATAGCTATGATACTCCATTTTCTGATAGCCTCTTATTTCCTTAGCCTAAGCCAGTTCTATCCCTTTCCTCTTCCCCTTCTAAGTTGTTATTGTCACAACTTATTCTATCTTGTATTGTGAGTTTCTGGTTAAAATGACGAGATTACATTTATTTTTGATGTTTTCCTTCCCTTTATCTTTAATGTTATAATTCAGTGTTTGCTAACCTGTTCTGATAGCTGCAATTTTCTGATTTTGTCTGCCTGTTTATCTCCTTGCTAGAGGCTCCATTCTCCTTCTCTTCTCACTCTGGAATACCTATAATCCTTATGCCCCATTTCCTAATTGAGTCAGATATTTCTTGGAGAATTTCTTCATTTCTCTTTAGTCTTAGTTTTCTCTCCTCCTCCATCTGATGGATTTCTATATTTCTGTCCTCTAAGGTGCAACTTCTGTCCTCCATAGTATCAGCTCTGTTATGCAGGGATTCCAGATTTTTCTTTATCTCAGCCCTTGTGGATTTCATCACCAACATTTCTGATTGGTTTTTCTTTATAGTTTCAATCTGTTTTGCAAAGAAGTTCCTGATTTCATTGAACTGTCTATCTGTATTTTCTTGTAACTTATTGAGTCTTTATGATAGTTATTTTGAATCCTCTGTCATTTTGATTATAAATTTCTGGGCCTTCAGGATTGAATCTGTGTGCCTGTCATTTTCCTTCTAGACTATTAAAATATTTTCTCATATTGTTTGATGGCTTGGATTTGTGCCTCTGCATAGTGATAGTATTTGATAGTATTTGATTGCAGCTTCCACCTGCCACCACTGGGTGGGGGTCAAGAGCTGTGTATTCCCAGCCCAACACAATCCCCGTGGACTCGCTCACAGCTGCTGCTTTTCATTCGTATGTGTGGACACACTGATAGACCAGCTGAGCTGGAACATCAGGCGGGAGGAGGGACACTTTCTTTGTCCTGCACAGTCCCAGGAGCTCCTTGCTCTGCCCTCACTATCTGCTCTCCTGGGATGCTGGCTTGACGAAGACACCCCCGCAGTAGCTTAGCCACTTCTGTGGGGCTTTCCCTCAGGCTGTTAGGGAATTTGCAGAGCAAAGGTGTTCCCGTGGAGGACCACCTCTACCCCTCTCTCTTCTTAGAGCCACACGCAGTCCCAGGATTGCTGCCTTTCAGGAGGGAGAGGAGATTCCCTTACCTCCTGCCACTTCCTCTGGGGATCAAGCACCTCCACCTTCAGATGTATGGCTGCGTGGGTCTCTCAGGTGTCTTTTGTGTTGTGTGAATGTCCTCTGTTGGTGTATGAATGTCCTTTTTCTTGTAGCTTAGGGGAGAGAGTCTAAGGGAAGCACTCACTCTGCCATGATGCTGACGTCATTCTTAATGAAATTTTTTGAATGCAAGAGTATACTTCTTTTTATATAAACCCCCTCATAAGTTAGAGGTTGTACTATATAGGAAGTATGTCAGAAAGCTCAATTGCTTTTCTGTTCATTATATCCCATTAAATTAGCCATGTGCAAAAGTGTTCAGAAAGTTGGAGCCAACTCTTTACACCATTCTTGTTCATATTTAACACTGCTGCTCTGAAATGTGTTCCAAACAGGTTTCTCCTTGTGTAAAGGTGCTGTAATGGGAATTAGATTGTAAATTTTACATTGTAAAGTGCAATTACATGTAGTTAAATCAACAAAGAACTTGGATGAAGGTTGTGGCATTCTCTTGCAAAGACAAAGCAATTTAAAGGAAGATAATGATAGTAGAAAATGTTTAATTTTGTGATTTTTCTTTCATTCCTAGAAACGGCGACTTGAGCATAGTAAAAATGTAAATACAGAAAAGCTGAGAGCCCCTATTATCTGTGTACTCGGACATGTGGACACAGGGAAGACAAAAATTCTAGATAAAGTAAGAAAACAATGTTATGCATTGATATAACTTTTTAAATAAATGGATGGTACTTTATAAAAGGCTAATAGAAACTAAAGCATGTATAGGCAATTCTATTTACCATAAATAAGTTGCTACTTAATGCTTTTGGTTGATTTTGCATTTTGGAAAATGAGTCTGAATCTGCTATCTTCTCCCAGCTCCGTCACACACATGTACAAGATGGTGAAGCAGGTGGTATCACTCAGCAAATTGGGGCCACCAATGTTCCCCTTGAAGCTATTAATGAACAGACTAAGATGATTAAAAATGTAAGTACACTGTATTTCATGTGTTTAATTGTTAACAACAATTAGAGTAAACTATTTCAAACAGAAAAATAGTGTAACAGACCCATATGCTCACCATTCATAGTTAACATATATGCTATTTTCCCCTATTTTGCTTCAGATTTTTTTTTGAGAAATAAAACATTAGGGACCAGCCTGGGGGCATAGTGGTGAAATTTGTGCACTCTTCTTTGGCAGCCCGGGGTTCATGGGTTTGGACCCTGGGTGTGGACCTACACACAGCTCATCAAGCCATGCTATGGTGGAATCCTACACAGAAAATAGAGGAAGATTGGCACAGATGTTAGCTCAGGGCCACTCTTTCTCACCAGAGTAAATATAAGTAAAAGAAAGCATAAAAAAAAGAAAGAAAGAAAACATTAGGTGTGTAGGCGCTTTCATGTGCCATTTCCTTCCCTCTTGCTTCAAGAGGCAGACACTGTTCTGAAGTTAAAGTATGTCGTTCCCCTCCATCTTTTAACCCTTTTAACCATAGATGTCCATGTTTAAAACATTCTGTTCCCTTCTCCACTCTCTTTTCCTTCTGTCGAATTGATTATGTTTTCTTTATCTCCCTTATTTTCTTTACTTTAGAGACATTCAGTTTATTTATGCTAAATACAACACAATAATAAAAAGATTAATGTGAAGCTTAATGGATTATTAGCATGCAGACACCCTTTGTGTCACCCATGTTAGGAGATAGAACTGTACCAGTTAACTCAGAAGCCCTGTATGCCCCTTTCCAATCAAAACCTTCTTCTACCAAGGAGTACCTTTTAAAATAATCTCTACCATTTAAAATGTTAGGGGTTGCAAAGTGTTGATATTCCAATCCCATCATCCATCTTTATTCTCCATAGGTTACTTCTATGGAGAAACTCGACCTGTATCTGTTTGGTTACTCAACAATAGTACGTTTGAGAAAGGCAGAATAAACGCCTCATCCTTTACTTTTACTTTACCTGCTTTTAAAATAAAGAGTGACCAATTTGGTTTGGCTTTGAATTATTATAAACTCATGGATCGAAATGTGTTTACTGTGTTTTAATCCATTTCAGTTATTATTGTGCTCAGTTAGTCCCATCTCTGCCCGGGGGTTGGTTCTTGAGTCTTTTGGATACAATTCTAGTAGTCTTATTATTCTGTTTGCATCCATGCTGTCTGATATAGCAGGATGTTCTAGGCTCATCTTACATGTAACTTGCTCCAGGCCTGGAACTGGGCCTTGTAGATAATTCTCCAGTTTCATTATCACAGAGCAGGTGAAAGTGGTAAATTTAGAACTGAGAAACAATAAATTGATAACTGATACACAGAGCGTGTATTATTATATACTGGTATCTCCCTTTATTCCTTATTATGTCCTAGCTCTGGATAGAAAGGATCTGTGAGCTTGTGTCTCCAGTGTTTGTTTGTTTGTTTGAGATTGTTTTATGAAGCTTGTTTTCTAGTAGATTCCTAAGGAAAGAATAAAGGGAATAATATTCCTTGAGTTTTTTTAATATTGAAGTGTTACTTTGTGGCCTTCATCTTGGAAAGTCACTTGGCTGCGTGTAAAATCCTTGGTTCACATTCTTTTTTCCCTGAGTAATCTTAAATGTTATTCCAGTTTCTTCTCACACACACAGTATTGCCTTTCAAGTTTGATCACAAGCTGGTTTTCATCCTCTTATAAGTAATGTAATCTTTTTGCATCTTGGTATTGGTTGTTCTGGGTTACTTTTCCAGTTATGTGCTGTTCCATATCAGTGTGTAAATCTTTATTTTTGGATACTTCTTGAATTGCAGTTTTTTGAATTAGTAATGTAAAATTTATTTTGGTTGTATTTTATCTGGTATTTCTCTGTGTGTTGGTCATTGGGGAATTCATAACAACTTATTTCACCAGTTGCCAGAACTTGAAATCTGACTTTATTTTAGAACATAGTTATAGAGTAAGATTTTTATTAGGCCTGTATTAAAGTTCTCAGGAAAACCTTTATATGACATTTGAATTTTGTTTGTATTCTACACACTGAAGTGGAAATAATTATGGCACTCAGTGAGTGTTTGTTTAAGACCACCAGAATGCAAATTTGAAATATTTTACATTTGAATTATTTTGACCTAGATCAGGAGATAAGATTTTGAAAAATCATTTGAAGATGGACAAAAAGTATAGATAAGCAAAATTTAAAAAGCTGTGTTAGACCTTCGTTGATCAGTGCTGCTCTTTAGGTTAAAAGAGAAAGTCCATATCCATCCTGTTGTGATGTTGTTTCCATTCGTTTATGTACTTTTATCAAGAAAATCGTGTTTATGATGTTATTTGAATAAAACAGGATATGACTTTATTCTTTAATATTTTACGTCAGTGTGGGTAAGTTTTCTTTAAAACACACTTTGGGATATTTTTCAGAGTTTAGAATTGCTTTAAAATTGGACCAGATAGATGTTCCAAATCCTGAGAACCTCTTGCATGTCAGCTTCTTATAGATAATCGCTCTCAGATGACTGCTCTGTCATTTGTTTCTTACTAATAGTCTGCTCAAATTTAGACTACACCATAGTTTTAAAACCTTAACAAAAGGAATATTTTCTCATTTCATTTTTTTTTCTGGAAAACTCCTTTTGATATTAATGAAAATATTAACTGTTATGCTTTGCTGGTTGCCTCACTGACTTTTGAAACAGTTTATTTAGAAAAGGAAGTGGTGATATTTTTAGGTTTTCATGGCAGAATAATTGTTTTGTAAAGAAGCTTTCATTGTTTTGGTTTTCTTAAGCTCTTCTCTTTTCCCACCTTTTCTAGTTTGATAGAGAGAATGTACGGATTCCAGGAATGCTGATTATTGATACTCCTGGGCATGAGTCTTTCAGGTAAGAGCAATTTTAGTCTTTTGTCACCAAACAACTGCTTGCAAACATTAAGTCTAAAAGTTCAACGAGAAGGTCTGACTAGTCATTAATCTTTGGGTAGTGGTTTGAGATCTGTGGTCCCTGTGACTACCAGTCCTCAGCGGTGTCTTACTGATTTAGTAGCATTTTATTTGGATACTTGTTTTTTTATAGAGAGAAGTCTTTTCTGTTTTGAAAGAGCAAATCCTAATACATACCTGGTCTATCTCCTGTGAAACCCATTATAGGTGGAATTTCATCCTGTTGCCTCTTGGCCATATTCCTTAGCGCAAAAAACTTGGTCAGTAAAATTGGCAGAAATATTGGAGTAACCTCTGGAACTAAGTCATTCCAACTGATGTCAGTTCACTGTCTGTCAGATAAGCATTTGGCAAGTTAAGGGCTAATGGCACTTGAATTTAATGCATGTACTTCATTTTGTTCTTTTTGTTTAGGTTTTACAAAGAAATTAAAATTTTAAGTTTAAGTAGAAGTATTGATTTTAAGCTTTCTATTTATGCATCTTCTCCCTCTTTTCAACAGTAATCTGAGAAACAGAGGAAGCTCTCTTTGTGATATTGCTATTTTAGTTGTTGATATTATGCATGGTTTGGAGCCCCAGACAATTGAATCTATCAACCTTCTGAAATCTAAAAAATGTCCCTTTATTGTTGCACTCAATAAGGTAAGCTCTCCTTCTGAAAAATTAAATTGTGAAAACATGCTTCTTAATTTTTTATGTTTAAAAAATATAGTATAACTTTCATGTAAGAAAATGTACTCATGCTAAGTTCATTGTTTTTTGACGAATTTATACACACATATAACCAGCACCATTCAGAATATAGACCATCTCTTTATTCCCAGAATATTCCCTTATGGTTGTTTTTTTAGTGTCCCCTTCTTCAACCCCAAACAAACACTGATCTTCTTTCTGTCACTATAGATTAGTTTTGCTTGTTCTATAATTTCATGTTAATGGAATTATATGGTGTGTGATCTTTTGAGACTGGCATTTTTTACAACTTACATTATTATAAATTTATCCGTGTTGCATATGTCATAGGTTATTCTGTCTTATTGCTGAGTAATCTCTCATTATCTGAGTAGTACCACATGTCCATTTTTCTATTGAAGGACATTTGGATTGATTCCAATTTTAGGTTATTAATGAAGCAGCTATGAACATTTCTATACAAGTCTTTATGTAGACATTTGTTTTCATTTAGTTTGAGTAAATATTTAGGAATAAAGTTGCTGGGTCATATGGTATGTATATGTTCAACTTTATGAGAAAATGACACATTTTCTCAGAGATTGTACCATTTTACATTTTAACCAGCAATGCGTAAGAGTCCCAGTTTCTGCACATCTGTTTAAAATCCTTTGCTCATTTTTTGTTAGATTGTTGTCTTACTGCTGAATTTTGAGTTCTTTATATATTGTCTGTATAAGTCAGTTCTGTGTATTGTAGATACATTCTTGTAGTCAAGGACTTGGTTTTTCATTTTTTTGATGTGATTTGAAGAGCAGAAAGTTCTAATTTTTACAATTTATGAGAAATATTTTATAATTTGTGTTTCTTGTGTTCTATATAAGTAATCTTTTCCCACCACAAGTTCATGAAAGTTTTCTCCAGTGTTTCTAGATATTTAACATTTAGATCTGTGATGTTTTCAGTTAATTTTTGTGCATGGTGTAACGTAAGAGTCAAGGTTCACCTTTTTCCGTATCAGTTGAAAACTCTTTATTGAAAAGATTATATTTTACCTGTAGAGTTACTTTGGAATCTTTGTTGAAAATTAATTGACCATGTACGTATGTCTGTTCTTGGTGTGTATCTCCTCTTCCATTGACCTATATGTCCATCCTTATGCCACTACTACCCTGTCTTGATTATTGTAGTTTCCTAGTAATGTCTTGAAAGCAGGTAGTGGTAAAGTCTTCAACTTTTGCTTCTCAAAATTGTTTTGGTTATTTTAGGGTCTTTGAATTTCCATATAAAGTTCAGAATCAGCTTCTTAGCTTCTACAAAAAGCCTTCCAGGATTTTGATTGGGATTGTATTTAATCTGTAGATAAATTGTAGAATTGACATTTTCTAAAAAGTTGTCTTCTGATCAATGAACATGAAATCTCTCTACATTTACTTAGGTCTTCTTTACTTTCTCTTGGCAATATTTTATAGGTTCATTGTCCATGTGTTGGGCATATTTTTCTGTATTTATCTCTAGTATTTCATGGGTTTGATGCTCTTGTAAATAGCATTTTTAAAACGTGGGTTTCTAATTATTTGTCACTTTTATATAGAAATAACAGTTGATTTTTATATATTGACTTTTTATCTTCTGACCTTGTTAAATTCACTGATTAGGCCTAGTAGCTTCTTTTGTAGATCATCTGAGATTTTTTATATAAATGATTGTTATCTGCAAATAAAGGCTGTTATACTTTTTCCCTTATCTGTATGCTTTGTAAATTTTTTTTTTCCTTACTGCACTAACAACACCTTCTAAAACAATGTTGAATAGGAGTGATGACAGATATTCTTGCCTTCTTCCTGATCTTAGGGGTATAAAGTGCTCAGTCTTTCACCACTGAGTATGTCTTCTGTAGATTTTTTTGTAGATGCACTTTATTAAGTTGAGGAAGTTCCCTTCTATTCCTAGGTTGCTTAGAGTGTTTTTTGATTTTTTTGAAGTTTTGTTAGATGCTTATTCTGCATCTCTTGAGATCTTCACATGGCTTTTCTCCTTTATTTTGTAACAACATGCATTGCTGTTGATATTTTGCGGGGGGCTTTGCTAACTTTTTGTTATTAAGACTTTATTTTTTTTAGAGCAGTTTAAGGTTCACACCGAAATTGAGGGGGAAGTACATAGCTTTCCCATATGTCCATGCCTCCACACATGCACAGCCTGCCCCGTTTTCAACGCTCCCTCCCAGGGTGGTACATTTGTTAACAATTGATGAACGTACACCAACATATCATTATCACCCAAAGCCCATAGTTTACATTAGGGGTCACCCTTGGAATTGTATATTCTATGGGTTTGGACAAATGTATGATGACACGTATCCATCATTATGGTATCATGCAGAGTAATTTCACTGCCCTAAAGATCCTCTGTGTTCTGCCTATTCATCCTTTCGCCTCCCACCCCCTGGCAACCACTGATCTTTTTAGTGTCTCCATAATTTTGGGTTTTCCAGAATGTTATATAGTTGGAATCCTACAATATGTAGCCTTTCCAGATTGTCTTCTTTCACTTAGTAATATGCATTAAAGTTTCTTCCATGTATTTTCATGTCTTGATAGCTCATTTTTTTTAATGCTGAATAATGTACCATTGTCTGGATGTACCACAGTTCGTTTATCCGTTCACCTACCAAAGGACATCTTGTTGGTTTCCAAATTTTGGCAGTTATGAATGAGGCTGCTGTAAACATCCATTTTGTGTGTGTGTGCAGGTTTTTGTGTGGGCATACATTTTCAGCTCCTCTGGGTAAATACCAAGGGAGCGTGGTGGCTGGATCATATGCTAAGAGTATGTTTAGTTTGTAAGAAACGCCCAGTCTTCCAAAGTGGTCATAGCATTTTGTATTCCCACCAACAATGAATGAGAGTTCCTGTTGCCTTCCCATCCTCACCATCAGTTAGTGTTATAAGTGTTTTGGATTTTGGCCATTCTAATAGGTGTGCAGTGATATCTTGGTGTTTTAATTTTGTATTTCCCTGGTGACATAAGATGTAGAACCTCTTTTCATGTTCTTATTTGTCATCTGCATATCTTTGGTGGTGTCAAGCTCTTTGGCCTATTTTTTAATTGGATTCTTTGTTTTCTTGTTGAGTTTTAAGAGTTCTTTGTACATTTTGGATACAATTCCTTTATCAGATGTATCTTTTGCAAATATTTTCTCCCAGTCTGTGGCTTGTCTCAGTCTCTCTTTCGCAGAGTAGAAGTTTTTAATTTTAACGAAGTCCAGCTTATCAATTCTTTCTTCCACAGATGGTGCCTTTGGTGTTGTATCTAAATGGTCATTATCATAGCTGAAGTCATCTAGGTTTTCTCCTATGTTATCGTCCAGTTTTAGAATTTTGTGTTTTACATATTGGTCTATGATCCATTCTGAGTTAATTTTTCTGAAGGGTGTAAGGTCTGTGCCTAGATTCAGTTGTTTACGTGTGCATGTGCAGTTGTTCCATTTTTTAAATGTTAAACCAAGCTTGCATTATTGGAATAAACCCCATTTGGTCATGATGTATTAGATTTTTCATATGTTGCTGGATTTGATTTGCTAATTTTTTGTTAGAGATTTTTGTGTCTGTATTGGTGAGTGATTTTGGTTTGTAGTTTTCTTATTATGTCTTTTGTCTAGTTTTGATATCAGAGTAATGTTGGCCTCATAAGATGAGTTGAGAAGTATTTTCTCCTTTATTTTCTGAGAGAGTTTGTATGGAAATGATATTTCTTCTTTAAGTGTTGGGTAGAATTCACCAGTAAAGCCACATCAACATGTAATTTCTTAAGTAGATGGAGGTTACTTAAGATTTTTGTTTTACCTTTGTCACTGTAGAAGTTTGTATTTTTCAGAGAACGAGCTTTTGGTTTTATTGATATTCTCTATTGTTTGTCTATTTTGTATTTTATTGATTTCCATTGTTAATTATATTGTTTCCTTCTTTCTATTTACTTTTGTTTTCATTTGCTCTTTTTTTCCAGTTTCTTAAGGTGGAAGCTTAGATTGTTCATTTCAGATGTTTTTTTCTTTTCTAATATAAGCATTGAAAAGTATGCCTAGCCCTGTTAAAAGCTCTTCTTAGGCATGTTGAGTTTTTATTACCATTTAGCTCAAACTATTTTCTGAATATTTTTACTTGATATAGAATTCTAGGTTTAAAAAATATTTTTTCTTTATCATCATTGCTTTCTGGCTTTTATCTCTGGTCATTCTTTGTTCCCCTGTAGGTAGGTAGTGTGTCTTTTTTTCTTTGGCTGCTTTTAAGACTGTTTTCTCTTAAGGATTTCATCAATAAGATTATCTAATAGTTTTATTTCTTGTGTTTGTGTTTGATTTCTTACTTGGGTTTGATTTTCTTAGATTTATAGATTTATAGTTTTCATCAATTTTTTAAAATTCTTGGTTGTTATTAGTTCAGATATTTTGCTGCTCTCTTTTCTCACTTCCTCTTTTTAAGTCTTTGATAGAATTCTAGGACTTTCTGGAACTTGAGTTACTTCTCGTAAGGGTGTCCCATAAGTGACCGAAGTGGTTTTTTTCCTCTTTCATCCTTGTTTCTCTGTATGCTTCAGTTGGGATGGTTTTTATTGCTATATCTTGAAGGTCACTAATCGTTTCTTTGCAATATGCAGTTTGCTGTTAAGTTCATCCAGTGAATTCTTCATTTCAGATTATGTATATTTTTTAGCTTTACAAGTTTTATGTTTTTCCTTTAAAGCCATTGCATATATTTATAAAAACTGTTTTAAGGACCTGACATGTTAATTTTATCATCTTTGTCATTTCTGGGTCTGTTTCTACTTTCTGATTTTTTTCCTTAGTAGCATTCAGGTTGTTCTAGTTTATATTACCACCCTAGACTGAACCAAAAGATTATACTTTCTTTTTGTTTTTACTATTAATAATTTCCTCTCTATACCAATTTATCACTCTTTTGAAAAGTGAGGAAATATAGATTATTTGATTAACTAAACAGATTAAATCCTAATTTGGGCAATAAAACAACTAAAATGGGTTATTCTGTGAGATAGGACATAATTATTTTTTTCTGTTTTCTCATATATAATTTTTTTGGTAATGGTACTTGCTGTAATTAGTCCTTGTTCCTGTCTGCTACTTAACAAAACCATTTTAGAATCCCAACAACATATGTCAATAGTCCTAGGATAGTTCTGGAATTTCATCTTTTGCAAACAAATGGCAGCCTCTCATAAACTGGTTGGAGGCCAATGGACAGCATTTACCTCAGCAGCTTCTAGTTTAAGAGGGGATGCAGGTAAGCAGGCTGTCAGAGGCTTTTGGTACAATAAAATATCTGAATAATTCACACTCTTCTGGATGTATGTAACATACATTAGGAATTTTCTGGAGCTTTAACCTTAATTAAACTCCTGAGTGTTCTGAATGTTTTAGAGATGTTTTGTATGAAAAAAACAAAAAACAAAAACCTTTTCCCAGATTGATAGGTTGTATGATTGGAAAAAGAGCCCTGACTCTGATGTGGCTGCTACTTTAAAGAAGCAGAAAAAGAATACAAAAGATGAATTTGAGGAGCGAGCAAAGGCTATTATTGTGGAATTTGCACAGCAGGTAAGAAAGCTTTCCCTTCTTCATGAAGAGCCTATATCATAGAATATTCGTTCTTTTATTACATTGTCTTTCTAATAAAGTCAGCATTTTCATTAATACTGCTTCTGTTCCCGTATTAATGGCAATTAGTGTTTTTCATTCTTTTCTCTTATCCCTTTTTGTTTTAAAATCAGAAAGCTGATATTTCAAAGATCTCTCTCTGTAGTCTGAATGTTTAAATTTTAGAAACGGAGTTGACCTGGAAAGAAACTACTTTTCTGTAATATAAATAATACCTACACAATATGCATATCTTTTCTTGAGTGTTTTCGAGGAGTTTCAGAATGATTAGCCATTTGTTCATCCAGCTCCTTCCTAGTTAGTTGTTCCTGTTCTGAATGCCTCCTTTCACAGCTTGGCCTTTTGGAATGATTTTGCTTTTTATGCCTCTAGGGTTTGAATGCAGCTTTGTTTTATGAGAATAAAGATCCCCGCACTTTTGTGTCCTTGGTACCTACCTCTGCACATACTGGTGATGGCATGGGAAGTCTGATCTACCTTCTCGTTGAGTTAACTCAGACCATGTTGAATAAGAGACTTGCGCACTGTGAAGAGCTGAGAGCCCAGGTGATGGAGGTAATGGTCAGCTTTACAGTTTATCGCCGTCCACTTTTTTTTTAACAGAGTTCTTGGGTGGGGATGTTTATTACTTTTAGATTTAATCAACAATATTGGATTGTAGCATATCTTTCATTCCTTTTGCAATAATGTCTTCTAGGTTAAGGCTCTTCCAGGAATGGGCACCACTATAGATGTAATACTGATCAATGGGCGTTTGAAAGAAGGAGATACAATTATTGTTCCTGGTGTAGAAGGGCCCATTGTAACTCAGATTCGAGGCCTCCTATTACCTCCTCCTATGAAGGAATTACGAGTGAAGGTAGGTGTTGACACGTGGGGACTGTACAGTGTTTAGAAGTTTGGCTGAGGTCACTTCCTCACTGTGAGAGCTGCTTGGCTTAATAAACAACACACACTCCTCATTTCATTTTAGATGTCTTCATACAGGAGGGACCATCAGTCAGTGGAGATGTGTGAACGTTCTTATATACCATCTAAGCTTCTCATAAAAATTAAAGTTCATTGTTTTGGGTCTACACTGCTAACTAGTTTTTCATTGACTTTTTTATTGTGAAATAAAACATTCATGCAGAAAAGTACACAAAACAGAGGAAAAGTTTAACAAATTTTTATGAAGAAAAAATTTAGGAAGCAGACCAGATCAAGAAGCAGAACATTGCGGGGCCAGCCCGGTGGCGCAGCAGTTAAGGTTGCACATTCCACTTCAGTGGCCCCGGGGTTCACTGGTTTGGGTCCCGGGTACAGACATGGCACCACTTGGCATGCCATGCTGTGGAGGGCGTCTCACATATAAAGTAGAGGAAGGTGGGCACAGATGTTAGCTCCGGGCTAATCTTTCTAAAAAAAAAAAAAAGCAGAACATTGCTGACAACCCAGAAGCCCTCTATGTGCCGCCTCCTGATCTTTGCTCCCTCCAGCTCCCTAAAAGTTCGCCATGCCTTCCATCGTTAGGATAGTGACTAATAGCCTTGCTGTTTTTCCTGTTTAATGGTTTTAATACGTGAGAGTGCACCCCTAAAAATATGTATGGACTTCATATAAATGGAGTTAGTTAATCTCAGTGTGTTCCTTTGTATCAGGCTTCTTTCAGTCAAAAAATAACTTTAAGATTTATCCATGTTGCTGCCTATAGCTATAGTTTGTTTTTGTTGTTGTCTAGTATTCCATTGCATGACTGTATCATGGTTTATTTATCTCTTCTCCTGTTGATGGAAAGAGTACCCTATCTCCAGTTGTTAAATTTTCTTATTACCAACAAAGCTGTTGCTACAAAAGTTCTTGTGTTATCTCCTGGTGCACTTGTGCAGATTTCTCCAGGGTCTCCACCTAGGACTGGATTGCTCAGTTATTGCTTATGCTTAGCTCCAGTTTTACTAGGTCAGGCCATGCTCTGGTCCACAGTGAATGTAACAAGTTATATGTAAACTGGAGGATAAAGTATACTCTATACTTCACATCTTCATTAGCTGTTTGCTGTTAGACTTTTAAATGTATCCCATTCTGGTGGGTATGTGACTCATTCTTGTTTCAGTTGGCACTTGCCTGATTGAAATATGGTTGCTCATTATTTTCTTTGTTGGATTAGCCAGATTTCCTCCTCTGTAAAATGCCCGTTGTGCTCAGGCATTGTCAATTTTTATTACGGATTTATAGGAGTTGTTTATATAATCAGGACACAAGTCTGTTAGTGTTTTGTGTGTATCGCAGCATCTTCTACTCTGTGATTTTTTAGTTTTTCTATGGTCTCTTGAAAAACAAATACTTAATTTTAATGTTGAATTTTTCAGTGTTTTGTGTTTATTGCTTTTTTTGTGTCTGGTTTAAGAAATATTTGCCTTCCCCAAGGTCACCAACATAATTGCCTCTTACATCATCTCATTATGCTAGGCACTTTTCAAATAAATGTGGTAACAAATGGTGTGATCTCTGTAGAACCAGTATGAAAAGCATAAAGAAGTAGAAGCAGCTCAGGGGGTGAAGATTCTGGGAAAAGACCTGGAGAAGACATTGGCTGGCTTACCCCTCCTGGTGGCTTATAAAGAAGATGAAATCCCAGTGCTTAAAGTAAGTTATTTTATTTTATTTTTCTTCCAAAGACATCAGAGTTCTGTCGTGTATCTATAGGGCACATGCTGGGAATGCTGAATGAGTACCTTTGTCTTTGTGAAGCCTCATCTGGTGGCCTTTTAGCAAATAGTTGATGCTTTTAAATTACTTCAGTCTGTACAACCATATAAATTGGTATAAATAATATTTGTATACGCTGGAATTCTAAAATAATACATTTTATTTAAATAAAAAGCTAATCAAAATCTAGACGTTGTTTATGTTTTATTTTAGATACTGCAATATGTAGACAGAACTAAAGAAAATCTTATTGGGGCCTAGGAGTCATTTTAAAGCCTGTCTGCCTGTTTGTAGGAGCAGAAGGCTCACAGGAGCCCAGCGTAGTTTCACAAAAGCAACTGTGAGCCATAGTTTATGTATTCACTTGCCAAGGAGAAGATACTGCTCACGGCACACGGCTCATCTAGTGTGTGGGGACTCCCATCATTCCTTAGGCAGCAGCAGGTCCCTGCCATCAGCAGTCAGCCAGTGTAGGGCCAGTGAGGACAGGGCAGGCTCCTTCTTCCCCAGTCCTGAGTACAGCATAGACTTCTGCGTTTTTAACGGCATCAACATAAGGTGGTCTTACCTATTTCTGGTCAAAATCTCTTCATCTCAGAGGACCAGTGACGGGGACGGGCTGCTGAGATTAGGGTGTTTCTAGTTAAGATAGTCAAGCAGAGCCTTTGGGCCACCGTAACATGTTATTTTATGTAGTACTTTTAACTCACAAGAGATTCTTCTTACTTCATTCCGCTCATCCATCTACCTTATTTGCCACATAGATAAGAGGTTAAGTATATTTCAACATTTATAAATCTACAGAGGTGAAGTGGGATACAGCTCAGATGGAGCCCCTAAACGGTCTCCTCCATTCCAGCACAGATTCTGCTGTGCCTTGCTCTTGGTTTCATATTTTCAGGTGAATATTTAGTCAAAAAGAGAAGCAGTTAAATTCTAGGCTGCTGATGATAGAGATGTATTTACAACCTTGTCAAATCTAATTTCTTTTCAAGGATGAATTGATCCATGAGTTAAAGCAGACACTAAATGCTATCAAATTAGAAGAAAAAGGAGTGTATGTCCAGGCATCTACACTGGGATCTTTGGAAGCTCTACTTGAATTTCTGAAAACATCAGAAGTGCCCGTAAGTAACCACATCCAACCCCACGACAGCCAGTGGTAGTCAGTGGTTTGTGGTGCTGTTTCTGTTAACTGACACAGGCAGTTAAACTCGGAAACTCTCTTTCTCCAGTATGCAGGGATTAACATTGGTCCAGTCCATAAAAAAGATGTTATGAAGGCTTCAGTGATGTTGGAGCATGATCCTCAGTAAGTAATTTCCCTTCTGCTACGAAGGCTTTCCTATTACCTGCCCATTTTCTTCAAACTGTCCTTTATGATATACTCTCTTTTACTGGATGGTCTTTGATGTGTTTTATGTTTTAACCTTTTAGGTATGCAGTAATTTTGGCCTTTGATGTGAGAATCGAACGAGATGCACAAGAAATGGCTGACAGTTTAGGAGTTAGAATTTTTAGTGCAGAAATTATTTATCATTTATTTGATGCCTTTACGAAATATAGACAAGACTACAAGAAACAGAAACAAGAAGAATTTAAGTAAGTTGGTGATTTTACTTACATTGGATCTTTGGTAAGGAAGTTGATTATTTGAGAATTACCAAATCCAGAAAGGTGTGTAGACAACAAAGGATGGTATCCTCTCATCTACCAGAGCCTGAAGTGGTGTGTCATAAACCACAAACTCTGCCCAGCCAAGACATCCCAGCAGTGTGTGAACATATCTTCTCTAGCCTTTCTGTTTATTATTTACTTTTCAATTTGGCAGACCTAGATCTCATTGATGAGTGAGTAGATCCTGCGTTTGGGGACTTTATCTTGTTGGAGTTCCTTATGTGGGATTGCATGGAATGGAAGTAACAAAATTAGTGTGTGGAAAGTTAGGAAATGAAACGAGGTGAGGCATTCCGTGGGAGAAAAGCTCCTTCCTCCAGCCAGCCTCACCGAGTGCTCAGTGTAGGTGGCACTGCTGCAAGTGCTGAAGAAGTCAGCAGGGACCCTGACCAGTTTCCCTCCTGGAGCTCACAGGACGGACAAGCGATAGACACATGAGATGTGGGGATAAGTGCTCAGAAAGTGAAATGAAGTAGGGAATGGCCTAGATGAGCAGACAAGAGCTGTGACTGACAATGTGGTTGCGGGGGCGGCTCATCTCTGTCAATCTGTCATTCAAGTAGGGATCTGAAGAGAATGAAGCGAGCCACCCAGACACATGGGCAGTGTCCAGGCGGAAGGACAGCACTTGCAGGCTGGATTGGGTTCAGAAGTGGAGGCAGCCACACCGAACCTCAGGGAGGGAGTGGTAGGACTCGTGTCGAGTAGGACCCTGAGGCCAGGGGAAGGGTTTCAGGGAGTTGGTGATAAGAGCTTGTCAGGAGGCTCCCATCGTCCAGGCTCAGACCAGTGACTAAGGGCAGTGATGGCTCAGTCTGGGGTACATTTACAGTAAAGCTGACTGGTCAATACTGGATTTAGATTGGGATATGCTCACTTTAGATCATGAAACCTGAAGTGAAAAGAATTCAGTTTAAGAAGACTCCTAGAACCTCGTAAAGTACTTTAAGCATATGCTTGAGAAGCAGGGAAAGAGTGGCCTTATGGATCAATTGATTTGGGAACATGGTGGAGAAAAGGAGGATATGGTTTGATGCCTGTGCGGTCCCCAGAGTAGACCACACATGTGCCACAGGACGCTCCTGACAGTAGCTCCCATCGATTTCTGAGCCCCGTCTTTATGGGCAGGGCTCAGCCTTGTAGTCTGGGCACAGAAGGCTCCGGTGGCACAGCTTCTTTAAGACTTGGGAAGCAACGGAACGGAAAGGGGGACGACAGGGTGGAGGGAGAACGACGCACAAGAAGGGAGCTGTGGACGGCAGCACTCAGAGGCGGCCAGCTGCAGCGGCCTTCCTGCTGCTCTGCCAGCACTGAGGAAGGCTGCTTTGATCTAATGGGAGAAGCCTCTATCTATTGTTTAATATTTAAGTGATTTTCTAAGCTTAAAAGTTACTGGGTTTTCTTTTTTCCTTTTAGGCACATAGCAGTATTTCCCTGCAAGATGAAAATCCTCCCTCAGTATATTTTCAATTCTCGAGATCCAATAGTGATAGGAGTGACTGTGGAAGCAGGTCAGGTGAAACAGGGGACACCCATGTGCGTCCCTAGCAAAAATGTAAGTTCTGATAGTACTTTTAAGAAAAGTGTCATCTCTTAAAGCAGTAAATGGGAGTCCCAGGATGGTGACAAACACAAACTTAAATCAAGCAGAGCTTGTCATCTTCTGTAACTGGTACTTCAGTTTCACTAAATATCAGTTTTCCTTAATCAGTGTTGATTCTTAGTACCTGGTATCAGTGCTGCAGTTAGGGAAAGTTGCGAGTTACTTTGAATTATTTCCCCCTTTTAAAAAGATTTTTGAAGTTTCAAGCCTAGGGAACAGCTAGGGAAAAGGATAGTGACCACGCCTATCCCTTCCCTCTAGATTAGCGTCCCACCCGAGGGAAACGGACAGCTCACTCTCGCACACTTTACAGTCCTCGTTCACATTTCCCCAGTTGTTCCAAACTGTCTGTAATAATGCCACCTGCTGACCTGGTCCAGGATCCCTTCAAGGTGCACTGCATGTGGTTATTATGTGTTTTAGTCTCAATCAGGAATAGTCTCCCATTCTTTTTGTAGAGTCCAGACCAGTTATTTTGCAGATTTCTCAATTTAGATTTGTCTGATTGTCTCCTCATGACTAGATATAAGGAAATTGGAAAGGATACTACACACATAAGTACTGCCTGCCGTGTGTCTTGCGCACACATAGGTGGTCTCAGTGTTGGTGATGCTAACTTTGATTATTGGGGAAGGTGCTATCTGCTGAGCATCTCCATTAGAGGCAGATCTTTCTCCTTTTGTAATTACTAAGTAATCTCTGGGGTACTTCCGAGTCCCTGTGAATATCCTGTTTCTCAACAGGCTTTCTCCTAATAGCTTTAGTAACCACTAGCAATCCTTGCCTAAGTCAATTATTACATAAATGGTTGTGAAATTGTGATTCCTCCCCCTCCCCCGTCTGTAAAGAACCTTCCTTCCGTTACCAATACTTTTGATACCCCAATGATCCAGTTTGGTCAGTGGGAGCCCATTCAAGCCGGCTACTGTGTCCTTGCCACATAGCACTTGGAGCGTTTTTCTTCCTTTCTGGTGCAGCAAGATGCTCCAGGCTCACCAGGTACTTTCCCAGCCCCAGACCTGGTTCCTTTAGTGGGAAATGGCACTGAGAAGTCATCTGAGCACCGTGACTTGTTGCGTCTGGGAGTCGTTGCTTCTGTACTGTTTTAGTGGGCTGAGCTAAGACGTTTATGGGCAGTAGTTATTTCCTGTAGGGCTTTTGCCAAACCAAACTCTGTTTCCACTTACTTTCCTGTATCTCTTCATAAGGCAGCGCACAGAGTGGGTTTTTCCCCCCTCAAACTATAACTGAGATGAGGTCACTCACAACTCTCACCCTCAGGATGAAATGCAGAGTTCTTACTGCGGCCTATAAGGTCCCATGAGTTGTCCCTGGCTGCCTCTGACGTCATCCCCTTGCTCCTCACCCACTTCTTCACCACACCGACCACTCCACGCTCATTCCTGATTCAGAACTTTCGTGCCTGTTCTCCCCCCTTAATTTGGCACCTGTCGCAGGAATGGATAAAGCTGAAACAGCAAACTACACTGGGTTAACAGAGCACTTTTCAAGTTCCCCAAAGCACAGGAGTGGTCTGCTTTTGTCCTCACACCATGTTGTGAAGGGCAGAGGGGAGGGGCCGGTTCACACCTCGCTTACCAGTGAGGAGGTTGCGCTGTGGGGACTGAAGTGAGGAGGGAGGGCTGCAGCGCCAAGGCTTTCCGGCTGGTGCCTTTGCTCATTTGATTTCAGCTGTCCACAGTGCTTGTGACAGGCATGATTCCTCTGCCTTACATTGCAGTTTCTGTTCTTATTTTGCAGTTTGTTGACATTGGAGTAGTCACAAGTATTGAAATAAACCATAAACAAGTGGATGTTGCAAAAAAGGGACAAGAAGTCTGTGTCAAAATAGAACCTATCCCTGGGGAATCTCCCAAGATGTACGGGAGACATTTTGAAGCTACAGACATCCTTGTCAGTAAGGCAAGTATCTCCGTGCAGGTGGCCTCGTTGTCAGACAGCGGGGAGTCAGCTCTTCTCTGGTTACCCTTACTCAGGAGCGCTGAAGTTTGAACTTTTAGAATCTGATGGGACTTAGATTGTTCCTTAGGGTCTGGTGTGTAGTATGGCCTTGTCTTTGCTGAGGAAGGTGCTTCCTGACAGTGCCCGCTGGGACTCCTAGGTCCCCTTCTGCCTAACTCACGTAACAGATGTGATGCTGGGATTCTGCTCCTCTCAAAGGCAGGCAAGTGCTGCCTTTATTTCTACCTAAGCTTTCTTTGTAAGGAACAGCATCTGGTGACAGACTACAGGGCCACATGGTTTTCTTGGGCACTTGTCTGAACATTTTGTTTACCCTGTTTGTGTCTCGGGAATTGCAGATTAGCCGGCAGTCCATCGATGCCCTCAAAGACTGGTTCAGAGACGAAATGCAGAAGAGTGACTGGCAGCTTATTGTGGAGCTGAAGAAAGTATTTGAAATCATCTAATTTTTCCACATGGGACAGGAATTGGAGAAAATGCAATATTATGTTGTAACATCACCAAGAAAAACAAGAAAAAATGGAATGGATGTAATCTGGACACTGATGAACTTAAGTACGGAAGGAAAAAAATAGGTGTATACAATGTTTTCCATGAGAAACCAAGAAACTTACACTGGTTTGACAGTGGTCGATTACATGTCCCCACGGTTCCAACGTGCCTGTTCACTCGCCCAGCCCTCCTCTACTGGCTGCTGTTTTCAAGTCTGCCCTTCCCCAAATTTGGATTTTTATTACAGATCTCAAGCTCTTTGAATTTTATACTGATTAAATCAGTACTGCAGTATTTGATTAACCAAGCTTCTGCAGATTTTGTGATTCTTGGGACTTTTTTGATGTAAGAAATACTTATTTATGCATATCCTTCCCACAGTGATTTTTTCCAGCATTCTTCTGCCATATGCCCTTAGAAATTTTTTAAAATAGAAAATTAGGCATTCTGATATTTCTTTCTTCGCTTTGTGTGAAACCATGGTGTAAAGCCTAGCTGGCTGCTCTTTACTGCTTGTATAGTCGAGAGTCCACTGTAATCAGCACAATTCTGAACTTCCAATAAAGAAAACATTCACCAGTAAGCTCTGTTAGCCCTCAACCTTAGCGCAGCTTCTCTCCCATGAGTCATCCTCCTCGGTTCAGCTCGTTCTTTTAAGGACATGGACTGTGAACTAGCATATCTTGTGTACTAGCACATGTTAACATTAGGAACTTTTATACAGCAATCTTGGTCTATATTTTATCCTAGAAAATTCTCTTATGCATACATTTTCTGATGAGACAATCAATAGGGACGATTAACTATTTGGGCTTAGTGCTTCTTTCTGAGTTGTTGCAGAAACATCATAATGATTATTTGTATGAGTAATCTGACTGTGGCTAGTTTTATGGTTTTCCTGAAGAATGTAGGAAGTGGGTCCACAGGAGGATATATACTCCTTCCCCAATGTAAGAAATCTCTTCACGTGAGATTCTTGTAACAATCTCTAATATCTATCTGACTGACTACCTGTTTAATAGCTCAGTGTTTGAAGAAAATGTTCCCAAGTATTCACTGGCATAGAATTATAACCTATATTTTTAAAGTGTTAGAGTATAACATAGTATAGAAAAATACTTTATATACATTTGAGAATCTGTACCATTCTTCATTATTATTCAAGTTTCTCAAGGGCCAGTAGAGGCAAAAACACCTCTAAACCATCTGTGGGACATAATTTTCCTAGGAAAAAATTCAATTTTTTGTGTGTGTGTTCTAATTCAAAATAATGTAAATTCCTCTACTTGGAAGAAGTAAAGAAGATTTTCGTAACATGCTCATGTGTTCATGCTTGGGGACAAGAATGGTAAGAAAGATTGTTCAGAAGCTCTACCCCTGCTTGGAACGAGCAGAGTCCCAGTCTGGGGCCTCAGGAAATTTCACAGATTAGCAGGGAGCCTGTAAGAGTCTGGCTTGAGGGTTTTCAGCCTTTAAGTGTAATCAACAGTTCAGCATTTGCTTCCTAAAGGAGTCACAAAAAGGAGCCTGTACAAAATATACATACAGTTCTTTATTAAACAACTGTAAACACTTCACTGTAAAAATCCATAAAACTTTATAAACAAACATTTTGTAAATAGAATCTATACTACAGTAAAAGAATTAACACAGTTATTTACATGCAATACTGACAAATTTGGCACTTATTGAAAAGAAATGTACAAAACACTTGCTTAAAAAGAAATTTAAAATTATAAAAACTCAGAGCGTTACTATCATGCACTTTGCAAAGACCTCACAAGCACTTATGGCACAGCTAGTGGTGAGCACCAGGCTCCCGGTCCTGTTTACGTCACTTTCAATGTGCTTCCGTACGTCTGTTGTAAAACCACCTGAACATTGTCAAGAATAAAGTCAAATGCCATATTCCAAACCGATTCCACCGACTGCTGCATCAACCTGAGGGTGGGAAGAAGAGACGTCAGGGAAGACGGTCCTCCTCCAAGGATCAGGGTAACATTTGCTTAGGGCTTAAGGGTTTTAACATTTTTACCTGAGAAGCAATTTTAGAAAAAAAGCCCCAACACTCAAAAGTACTTAGTATGGTTTTAAACTATATAACCCTCAAGGGGAAAAATCTCATTTTGACTGTCTTTACTCCCCAGTCAATATTATGGCATTGCTTTCTCTGGGATTCAAAATAAAGGACATCCCTTTTTTCTTAACCCTAAAGAGTATAGTCAACACAACCGATTGCCAGAAGGGGTTAAAACTTGCTCAGCACCTCACCTCCCTCAGTCAGTCCGTCCACTGTGACATGCCAAATTTTTCCTTTTGATAAAAGTACTGAATAATTACCTTTTCATGTATTTTATAACTAGGTCCAGTTTTTCCAAATCTTTTTCCTCTATTAGATCAGTACAGTATTTCACAACTTGCAGAATGTCTTCTTCCATTGGATCTAGAAAGGGGGAAAACCTCAAATGAGGACCAGCCTATCTTTCTGAAGGAGAAAGTGCTCTGTGGGGATAAAGGCAAACTGCATTTCTACAGCTACACCACTGACTAGAGCTATCAAACGAACAGTCCGTGCTAAGGAACTTTTCAAAGCCAGCCCCGGAGTTTAAAAGGTTAGGGGGTAGCTGGCTGGAATTTATTCGATTTAGAAAAATGAGTTCCATCTAAACACAGTTGAGTCTGTTCATGCTCTGAAATCACAGGACCATTATATCTGAGCCTCTGGCCATCTTACCACCAGCCAAGCCAACCTGAAATGGTAGTTATCCACTCTTTGAGCAAGGTCTTCACATCACTGAACTCCACAGCTCCCGCTAGGTTAGGTGCCGGGGGTCTAGCACAGTCGGGTGGGACAGGCTGCAAACCAGGAAGGCCTGGCGCACCTGAAGTGGAAGCGGAGGGTTCTCCCTGTAAGAAAACAAATGAGGAAAAAGTGCAATATTTACATAATATCAAGTACATTAAGATCTGATAAAAGGTCAAAGTTGAGAAAATAGAAAAAAATTTTACCAGAGGTTTCTCAGAAGCAGGACCTTCATATTTTAAAAACCCATCAATAAATTTCTGGGGACTCCCACAGGCTCCTGGCAGAGTTTTTGCAGGACTATTAAGCAGCTTGTTTTTCAAAGGACTCTGAATCTTCTTGAGGGGACTGACAGGACTTTTTTTCTTGTTTCTTTTCTTTTCTTTCACTGCTGCTGGTTTTAGCTGAAGTAATGGATTCTTTGGCACTAAAAGAAGGTCATAAGATTCTCAACAAAATATGTCTAAATACTACCACAGGTTCTCTTTCCATCTCCCAAATACAACCCTGAGCACATGCGCACAGGCCTCTTGCCAAGAGTGAAAATGGCAGGAAGTGCAGGCTAGACAATGCCTAGTCTCTGCTCGGCCCCTTGCTAATCTGACCTCTGGAGCACTGCACATCTAAAAGGCGGTGCTCCTCAGGATCGAATGGAGGCTCCACAGGGAGGTGCCTCCCGCAGTTCAGCAGCCAGTCTTCTGTTTTCATAGTAAATGTGGTGACTGACACATGTTCAAAAACCTTCAGATTTTGTTTTAAACCTACTGTTATCAGTCTCAAGGGACAACAGGCTTGACAAGTATTCAACAGATTTCTGGTAGCACCTTATTCAGACTTTTTAAAGTACAGAATGGTTTTTAAGTCAAGAAGTTACAGATACAAATCCAACTAGGACGATGACAAACTTACCAAGCTGTATACTTGTTCTGCTCTCCAATATGAAGAGCCCTTACCATGACTGACAGCTTAGATTTTGGCCATTATCGACAACAGTAATCACACACAACAATGACTTCATGCTGTCATCTTTGTTTTCGTTACACATCAACTCCGAGGCTTACCAGCTGCGCCGGCCGGCGGCTGCTGAGGGCTCTTCTCTCCCTGCCTTTGTCTTTGATCGTATGCTGCTTTCAGCTCCTTCTGCAGCTCAGGAGGAAGGGCAGCGAACACCTCAGGGTCCACCTCGTGGAAAAAAAGTTCAAAGTCAAACCTGAGCTGATCCCATACAGCAGCTGCTTTATACTTTTCACAAAACTGACTTTGTTTTCAAATCATACTTCTCTAATCTGTATGAATTCTTAACAGGTCCTCAATATCAAAGCTCATTAAATTCTCAAACAAGGTTTTAAGGTGAGAATAGTAATAAAATTTTGACTGTGAATTGATTTAAAAAAAAAAAACCAACTAAAGAACAACCAGGGCAAGAAGTACTAACAGAAAATGAGAAGCAAAACACAGGAAAACAGGCTCATCTGTGATGGTTTTAAACATCAAACTTAGATTGTGTTAGTGTCCGTCGTGTGTGATTACACCTCCACCCTCTCACTCCACTGTGGCCCAGTGATCTCTGACCAATGAAACAGGAGAACTTCTCTTTCTTTCTGGGTGGAGGTGTTAAGCACCTACACGGCACAGCCCCCCTCATCCCTGCCCTCTGGTGCCACACACTGTTGCTTCAGGAGAGGGAGCTCTTGTCAGTCTACATCCTGTGGGTGGTGTGGAGACAGGCCAACCCCTCCTCCCCAACAACATGGTGTCAGCCACTGAGATTTTAGGGTGCAAAAGAAAAATGGGAATGAGACAAGCCCGGAGCTGGAGTAGGATGGGTGAGAATATTTCAACTCTGGTAGAAGGTCCCTGAATTTAACTTACCTGTGAAAATGCTGGAAGGGCTATTACATTAATTCCTGTATCACTGTTAGATTCCTGAGGTTCTGGTATTTGTAACAAAACTGTCCCAAGTGGTTGTGGCAAAATTCCCGTGTTACAGCCATTTACTGGTTCTTTCTTTTTGTCGCCATGCGCCTCTCCTTGCTGAGCAGCACAAACTTGCTCCACTTGTTCTCGGAGATCAGGTGGAAGCGCTTCCAAAACGGACTGATCGAGCTACAAAAGAGCACACGTAACGAGCTTGAGGAGGGTACAGCACTCAGAGACGATGTGTTTGGAGAGTGAATGTATCACTTTAATTTCAATGTGAACATCTTGGATGATGAACATGAGGTCAGATAACTAGGCTAGGAAAGCTCCCCCCAGAACCAGCATATTTTTGGACTGTCTTGGCCTTTAGCCATAAGTCTGAGAAGTAATGTGTGGGGTCTGGAGATGACAAGTGTACACGAGTGGCCAGCAGCACGGGATCAGGTAAGTCCAACAATACTCAGTGACTCTCCTGTAATAGGGGCAGACAGACAGGTGGAGCCTTTGTCAAGGTCAAATCTTAGACCCCTCGCAGGGGGCAGGGGCAGGGACAAGGCCTAAGGCACACGTCAAATTTCTGGGATGGGAAATTAAGAGAGTCCTGGATCAGAAGTTTACCCTTCAGACAGGAGACTATCTGCCCCAAAAGAGAAACAGCTCTAGTCTGAGAGCAGCAAGCTAGAAAAAAGGGATTCTAGAAGCTAACTTTTCTCCAGCCTACATACCAGAACCCTCTGCCCATCCGTGCACATCCCTTTAGAAACGCACGATCTCATGAGCTGGGAGGCCAACCTTACCTTGCCAGGGAGCAGCTAATTTTAGAAACAGCAACTGGGACCCAACGCAAGCATGTCACAACTGTCCCTTCCCTACCTTCTCTAGCCTTCAGCCAACACGGACATCTCCTTCAGCCTCCTACTATTCAGGGAAGCAGAGAAACTGACTTTCCCAATAGAGCTTAAAGGGCTATCTTAAGCTTCCAAGGAGCAAAAGTTCCAACAGCAGGCCACGTTTACAGCTCACCCCAACTGAATTAATAGCTTACGTCAGGAAAATCATTCACCCTATAGAGAGAACTGTTTGCAAATGCTGCAAGAAAAATCTTTGACATAAGGCCTCTCTACTAATGATCACCAAAGCTGCGCTATTGAACAGAGCGCTCCGTGTGATTAGCACTGTCACAGGGGAAGTGGCTGCTGACAGTGGCAGTTTACGAACCTGGCTGTCATCTATGTTTCACAACCTGCAAGAACGGCAAACCTCTGCAAAGCACAATCTTTCACCTAACTCATTTCCCGGTGGAACGCAGCCACATCACGGTCCGCCCTAGGCAGCAGCCTCATCAAGAAGGTCAAACGCCATTCCGACTGTAAAGCCACTTTCACACTTACATCGTATACAGAAGTATAAAACTATACCTGGGAAGGTGACGGGACCTCTATACTCAGGTTAAGTCTTGACTTTAAACTGATGGGAGCATGTAGACCATTCCACTTCCCTGAAGACTCGGCTTTGCTAACGACAGGACTGATACCTGATGTCAGATGTGTAGAAAAAGATGGCAAGAGAGCGCAAGTTCTAGAGGCAGATGCTACTTCCAGATCCATGGCAGCCAGAAATACTGAAAGTACAATACAAAAACAGCTTCTTCAGATCACTGAGGGGAGAGGGGGCTTCAGTCCATTGCAAATAAACTTTATTAATCATAATTCAGAATGTCAATTGTTTCTTAAACAGTTA